GTCCCAGGGACCTCCGCTCCTAGACTGAAAAGTTAATCACTCCCCTCCTTGCTATAAAATGTCTACTTTTACAACAAAATGAAGTCTTTGACAACTTCAATCTTTTCTCCATTTATCGTGTTGTTAATTACTGGTCCAGTGGTGAGGATTTTCGTTTTCACCAGGTAAGTAGCGTCTGGGATCATAAAAACTCTTGAGTGTCCACCTAAGGTGCAATACTGGTCTCTCCATGTGCAGAAGAAAGCAGAGTGATGAGAATTGAAGATGTTTCGATTCAATTAGTCCACAGACTAATGGAACACGTGACCATCAGTCTCCATGACTCTGAGACCAGAAGAACTAGATGGTGCCCTGCTTCCACTACCAACTGCTCTGAAAGGGATCGTATTGGAAGGTCCTGGAGAGAGTGGGAGAAAATGTAGACCAAAACTCAAAATTATTTTTTAAAAAAAGACTGAACTTACTGGTCAGAAAGAAACAGAAAGGAGGAAACGGAAGCTATGACCCCATGTTTGGAAAGGAACTCACTCATGTGACCCAATTTCCAGCCAAGCAAATGGATAGATATATCGGGGGTGGGGGGTGGGGACACACACAACAACCCTAATGAGGTGTGCTCACAATGGAATGGTCACTCTTTCAAAATCCAAAGGGCAACATCTTCCTAAGGACAAAGTTGAGAAGGGATAGGAAGGAGGGTGGAATGGAAACAGGAAACAGGGAGGAAGCGGGGATTGCAATCATTGAGATGGAATAAATGTGTGATGTGTTCAATGTAAAACGGATGGTCCTGTCTGCAAACTTTTACTTCATTCACAATCCAAAGTTTTAAAAAATAATAATTTCACCAAAAACTCCAAAAAGCTGAACTTTTCTTCTTTTCACTGCAGGAAGCCAGAAGGGGCGGCTTACAGAAAGGGAGTTGAAATCAGGTACGGTCTGCTGTCTGGCAGGAACTCACCACTCTCTGACGTGACTTTATCTGCTGACAGTTACTGCCTCTCAGGGACCCTAAGACTTCTTTCTCGTGATCCCAAACCAAACCCATGGCAACGCCGTGGGTATCAGAATAAAACTGTGCTCCACAGGGTTTTCAATTGTTGTTGTTGTTGTTATGTGCCGTGGAGTCGGTTC